GCTTGTGGGTTTTGCCGCCGAAGCCTTCGTCGAGGCAGCGAAAGTCAATGGTGCATGCCATGAGTGTGGTGTTGATTTTTTGCTTTTTAATGCGATATTATTTTTTAATTTGTTTTTTTTTATATATATATTATTCAATTATTATAATTAAAAATAATATATTCATTAAGTGGATAGATTGTTTTAGTAAAATTAGATAAAAAAAATATTATATTTATTATTATTTTTAATTTATGTTTAGAAAAATTAAATTGCAGGCGTTGGTTAATGTAGAGAATATATAACAATAATGAACATGGGTTGACATAACCCTATATTTTGTCAGAGGAAAAGAAAGTAGAAAGAAAAAAAACATAAAATAATGATATCTTTTTTTATTTGGTTGACGACAAAATAGAAAGAACCAAAAAATATAAAAAGTTGACTCTTGTAAAAAGATTTTTTTTTTAATTCTAATTTTTATTTATTTATTTATTATTTTTATGTCCTATTTCTTTCCATCATTCTACACGGATCATAAGTGTTCAAAGGTGAGATATAACTCTTATTTTATTGATAACTAAATTATACTTTTAGTTTTTTTATTTATTAATTTTTAAGATTTAATTTGCTCTTATTATTTTTAAATAGTTTAATTTGATCTTCTAATCTTTTAAACATTTTCAATGTTATCTTTCTATTCAAATTGACACTAATAATATTAATGAAATCCGACAAAAAAAGTAACATATTGAATGTTATTTAAAAATTTAAACAAAAAACTAAATTATTTAAAAATAGTGAGGCTAAATTGAATATTTTATAATTGAAAAGACTAAATAGAACAAAAATTTATCTAACATTCATTTTGTATAGATAAACTTGAGTTTTCTTTTACCTATTTAATATTTTCTTATATTAAATATCTCAATTTGTTGTCATTTATGATCATGTTGAGGTAAGTAAAAGAAAAATTAAATTTATCAGAAAAATGCTAGATAAATTTTTATTCAATTTGGTTCTACTATTTTTAAAAAACTCAATTTGATCCTATTATTTTTAAAATTAAGTATTCAATTTAGTTCTCTAATTTTTAAAAAATGTTCAATATTATCATTTTAATTAATTTTATTAACATCATTAGTGTACATTTGGACGGAAGAGTAATATTGAACATTTTCTTTTAAAAATTAAAGAATCAAATTAAACCTTCTAAAATATAATAAAAATAAATTAAAATTTAAAAATAAATAGATAAATTAAAAATTGGAAAATGGGTTTGTTTATATCAATTATATTCTCTCTTTTTATCAGGTTATTAGGCAAGGTGGCATTGGTCACAGGTGGGGCTTCTGGAATTGGAGAAAGCATTGTGCGTCTCTTCCACACCCATGGTGCTAAAGTTTGTATAGTTGATGTGCAAGACAACCTCGGAAAGTTGCTATGCGAAACCCTTGGTGATGAAGCAAACGTTGTTTTCTTCCACTGCGATGTTACAATAGAGGAAGACGTGTCCCATGCAGTGGACTTCACCGCGGAAAAATTTGGCACCCTAGACATCATAGTCAACAACGCTGGAATCTCTGGTTCTCAATGTCCCGATATTCGCAATGCAGATCTATCAGAATTCGACAAGGTGTTCAACCTAAACGTGAAAGGAGTGTTCCACGGGATGAAACACGCTTCACGAATTATGATTCCAGAGAAGAAGGGCTCAATAATTTCTATATGCAGTGCGGCAAGTGCAATAGGTGGGTTAGGATCGCATGCATACACAGGGTCCAAGCACGCTGTGTGTGGACTCACGAAGAATGTTGCAGCTGAATTGGGGAAGCATGGTATCAGAGTGAATTGCGTGTCACCTTTTGTTGTGGTGACAGGTTTGGTTTTGGCTCATTTTGCTGAGGAGCAGAGAAAGGAAGAGGCTTTGGCTGGTTTTCGGGCTTATGTTGGGAGAAATGCCAACTTGAAGGGGGTAGAGTTGACTGCTGATGATGTGGCTAATGCTGTGCTTTTCCTCGCAAGTGATGAGGCTAGATATGTGAGTGGTGAGAATCTCTTGGTTGATGGAGGGTTTGCAAATGTAAAGCAGTTATGAGAAACCTTAACAACACACATTTTCTATAAATGATTGGGATATATTGAAAAACACATTTGATGGATCTCGCACTTTATTTAATGATATGTAATTTTTAATAAATTTTAATGAATAAAAAAGTGTACATAGAGAAGTGTGTTGTTAGTATGGTTAGAGTTTTAGCTGGTTTATTAATAGCATTTCTTATTGTTAGTTTTACTATGGTTTGTGTAGAATGATAATGAAGTCTCTCCATTAATTTAGTTATGCTTTCAAATTCATAACTCCTTAGTTTTTATGATTCAACTTTGGTGATAGTGTTGATTAGATTGTAGTTTGTGGTTTCTTGGTAATCTTTTTGAAGAACTTTGAGTGTTAATTGGGTTTATGTTGTCTTTCGCTGATTTTCTTTTTGTTAGAATCTCGTGATTCTATGACGTCTTTGACTCCAAATAAAATATTGAAAGGGTTTCATAGTATATGTTTTCTTTTAATTCTTCTAGTGTGTCTTTTCTTCACAAACAATCATCATTAAAAATCAATATTCAAACCATCAATGAGTGAATTATTAACATAAATAAAAGTAATCAATTTTTAAAAAAAATAAACAACAAACTTTCTTTACCACTATAACAAAATTGATTATTATCAACAATTATTTAGTGGCAATAAATTAATTATTTTTATTTTATTATATAATAAAAATATTAATGACTAATATATAATGGCCACTAAAAATATATTTATATCACACAAAAATTTACTATTAGCGACAATATTTATTTGGAAAAACTTAAGTCTCACATCGATTAGAAATAAGATAATTAAAGAGTATATAAATGGATGATAATTCTCACCTTACAAGTTTGTTTTGTAGGGTTAGGTTAGACCTATAACTTACTATTCTAAGTTGGTATCAAATTACTCACCTTTACCAAACTCAATAGTCCCTAAACTTGAGGGAGTGTATTGGGAAAAATTTAAATCCCACATCGACTATTGATAAAATAATTAATTAGGAGATAAGACAATTAAAAAATATATAAGTAAAAGACAATTCTCATCTTACAAGTCCCACATCGAGTAAAAAGTAAAAAATGTCACAGAAAGTTATACACTTTTTCTGACCATTATAAGGATTTTTACCAGCATTCAGAATAATTGCTGCTAAATGTTTTAGTGACACTGCATACAATGGCTATTGTGGAAATGCCGCTAAAAGATTTTGTAGCGATTTTTATTACCACTAAAAACCATATTAAATGTCACTAAAAATCTATTTTGTTGTAGTGTACCTTAATTAAGCTTCTTATGAGGAAGAATTAAGGTAGAAGAGAAACTCCTTCTACAACTCTCAAAAAGGGTTCCATGATTTTTATTCTTAAGAACTAAACTCCATTATTCTCTTTTGGCTTCAAGAAGCTCCAATATCAAGCCTTAGGAAACATCCACAACCTTAAGGATGATCATAAGCTCAAATAATAATCTAGAGCCCTAAAGCCCATCTTTCTAACTTTTCTAAATTTTTGAAATATGAAATTTATGAAGTCTTATTTTTCAAAATTCCTTTCTATACTTTAGCCCTCCTTGGGCTGAAGCTCTCACACTTAAGTTATATCATCCATAACTTACGTATAGGGTTATGTCAACACTAACCCATGCTTAGCAACACATAAAATAACATAAACAACACTCATAAACACATATATAAAAAATATACATATATATTAGAAACATGATATTATAATATGGAAAACTATAGTGGTAGTTAGAGCTATGAAACTAGTCAATGAAATAATAGTGGGAAAGTCTTTGCGTTTAATGATGTTGAAGCCTTAAAGTCTGATCACTTGATCCAAGGCACATGTCTTATTAATGTATTTTTTTTGTATAGTTTGAGTTTGATGTAACTCGTTCATTTATTTCTCAAGTTTGTGTTAAGAAATTGAATTTGCCTGTATCTTTTTTGATATTTGATTTGATTGTGGAAACACTAACTAGTTGTTCCATTTGTACTTAAGATGTATATCTAAAATGTTCTATTTTTGTTTATGATAAATAATTGTTGATTGACATTAATATGTTAGTCTATTTGTCAACTAGATGTGATTCTTAATACGGACTGGTAATTTTCCAACCATATCATGTTAAATTACCTTTAAAAAATTATTGTGTTGGGTGAGTCTATTGAGAGTAGGGGTGTGGATTTCATTATTGTCAACTAGATAAAGATATCTTCAAAAGAAAATGCCCATATGTACATGATGTTTGTTTCCTTGAAATGTAAGGTTGGATCAAAGTGTGAAATTTATTAATTGATAAAAACAAAAATGATTGGTACCTGCTATTTAACATGTAGCAAGTAAAATAGAATCATTTATTCCATTTACATCATTTACAACAATTCATATTGATTGAGGAAATTGACTTTTTGGTCTAATATTTAAGACAATTCATTTAGTGAAGCATCCATTTATTGATCATAACCTCCCCCGACAAACTCGCAACCTTATTAACTTCTCTTAACAAGCCATTAAGAATCCAAACTGTAATACAATGCATCTTGTCGATGATCAATTAGTCCAATTAAATAAGTTTAACATAATATATTAAGGTGAGTTCATTCAAATATTAATCCTTTACACTCAAAAGACTTGGAATGATCTAGTTAGTAAGAATAATTAATATTTGAAAACTAAAGAAAAATCTAATTTATTTTGATGAAATTCAAGTTTCATTCTAATTTTCTTGTGACTTTGTCTATTAACAATTGATTATCTATGTTTTTTAATTCAATTGTTAGTATTTAACCAGAGGTTGAATTGGAGTTAAGAAAATGAGATAAAAGCTCATCAAATTCTAATTATTGATAATGAAAAATTATGCCATATTCATAATAGGTTAATATTAAAAGTCAAAATAAAATTGGTCTAACTTATTTGTGAACCAAATAAGAAATTGAATGGTTGGTAATTGAAATATCTTATGATTCAAAAATTTATTTTGTATAATCACTTAATCATATCTATATTATTTGTTAATGACCCATATTGATAAAGAAAATATACCCACATAATATTTAACATGGTCAACATAGGGAAACAATCATTCTTGCAAGTAGGCAACCTTATTAACTTTTCTGAAAAAGTGAATGCCAAAAGCACTGCACATAGAAAGGATTAAAAAAAAAGATAAAAATGATAAGATAAAAGAAAGTTCCTAAACATGTCCTACTTGCAATAGAATTGGCAATAGGGTAGCCTAGTACTCTATCACTTCCTTATGATGAGATTGTTGTTGTTGTTGTCATGGTCAAATTCAAGCAAAGTAGTGCTTCCGCATTTGAGGCACCTGAGGTTATCCTCAGCAACCATTACATACATATGGCAGCGAGGGCAACCTACAAGCACCAAGGAAATGGCTTCAGGATTGTTGGGGTGTTCAAGGTTGTTGTTGTTGTTGTCCTCCTCCTCTTGGCTAACCTCAACAGATACGCATAAGCTTGGTGGTGGTGATGCTGGTGACATTGTTGTTGATAGAGTTGGTGACTCAGGTCTATGGCTAACTACCCTTGGTGGGGATAGGTTCAACTTCAATTCAAGTTTTGGAATGCTTCCATTTCTGTCACTCATAGCTTTTCCTGTTCTTTTTTACCAAAGTATGTTAACACTTTTGACACAAAAAATTTAGATAAAAAATAACACAAAAATATCAATCAAGAAAAAAAGATAGCAAGATGAGTAGTTATATACCTTGAAAGTCTTGAAAAAGCAATTTATTGTTAAAGGTAATTTAGGGTTAGGAAGAGAAAAAGTAGGGGTGAATGATTCAAAGGAGAATAACATAAAAAGCTCTAACACTAGAAAATTGATCTATGTTGAGGGGTTGACCCTTAGGCCAATTTATGTGATGAAAGTAGTGAGGGGTGATTTAAAGCATTTATTTTGGTGAAATTCAAATTATTTCCTCTTACTGACACCTTTGTTTGTTGACAATTAATTGTCAATGTTGTTTTATTGAGTTATTAGTATTAAACTAAGCAATGCTATGAAAATCAAACATTCATCGAACCAATATAGACAATGGTTTAATGGTTTAGTAGTCAAGTCAAAGAGTCACTTATTGAAATGCAAAAACATGTCTATGTTAAAAAATTAAAAATAATCTAATTAACATAATTTAAGATATTTCTAATATTGACGAGTTTATTGTCATTCTAAATGATAAATATCACATGTTGGATTGGGCATCAAATTCACAACAATATAATCCCACAAATGTCATAAATATAAAGTTCTTAATAACAAAAGTCATTAGCAATTAAACTAAAGTCAGTGACATAACTCCATAAATAAAGTTAGAAATCAAAACATGAATAGCATCAACATCCAAAACTTATGTGCAAGTTCTCGACATTTAAAAACACAACATTTGCAAAGAAGAATTTACATTACTCATTTGTCAATTAAATAGGTCAAACTTAAATATTAAAGTTAAAATAGTCTTATTTGTTAATTAAATAAGAAATTTAGTTATTGGAATATGAAATACACTTCAATTCAAGCTTTTATTTTTCATAAATACTTAATAAAATTTACATTATTTATTAAAAATATGTATAAATAAAGGAAACTAACTTTTTGGTTGTCCTAATACTTAAGATGGTCAAACAAGTAAGGCAATCATTTATTAAGCATGATATCTTTGACAAGTAGGTAACCCAATGACTTATCCTAATCTAGTATTATTAAGAAAGACATCATGACTATAAGGCTATCTTGTATACCATCAATTATCATACATAGCTTAGTATAAGGTGTTTGTCCAAAGAGTAATCCTCCACACGCATAAAACTTAAAATCTTATACTCATAAATAATAATTAATATTGAAAAACTAAAGAAAGTGTAAGACATATCAACATATATTATGACGAGGTTCGTTTTTTTTTTAATCTTTCCATCACCTCTATCTATATAGGCTATTAGTTGATGGAAGCTAGTTGAATGATGAAGCATGATTCCTTCTCCAATGGCTTCCTAAGACCTTGATCTTCCTCTTTGAGCTTCAAGAATAAGTTTCACCAAACAAAATAAAAGAAAATGAGAGTAGAAGAAGAAGGAATTGGCATGCCAAAACCTTCAAAGAGATGAAGCAAGAATCCTAATCCACAAGGGAGAGCAAATACAAGGGAGAAGGTTTATAAAGAGAAGTATGAGACATGGTCGGCCAAATTTGAAAGTTGGAGCCAAAATCAATTCGAAATTCAAATTAGTTTTGGCTGAAACTTTCAAGGAGGGACCACACATGCTTCTAGCTTCTTATGCATGAACCAAAATAGGATTTAGAGTTCATTTGCATTTGATTTGAGCATACTTTGGACGCATGACTCAAATGTCATGTATACAAGACCTATAAATACTATACAATAAATTCTAAAATAAAAATTGAATAAAACAAGTTAAATTAGGTTGATTAAGAATTTGGATTTAATGTTGAACTATGAAAATTTTATTGTAAATTGAAATCTTGAAGCGATACTTCTTTAATTGAATTTCCGATTCCTAATTCTTTGTTTGTTGATTAAATACTATTAAAATATTAAAAATTTCCTTCCTGACTGCATGATAAAATACTATAGATACCGGGTTTTGTCCAAGCTTTTCCTACAAGGGTTGGGAGACTTATGAAGCAAGAGGAGCAACCCCTGAGGTCTAAGGAAGGTACAGAAGTGGGCCAAGACGGAGCACATGAAGTTCGAGAGGCATTGTTGTACAAAAAAAGGGGAAACCCTAACTTAGACTCAAAACAATCGTTCCTACCCTTGGAACAGTCGTTCCCACCCTTGGAACAATCGTTCCCAATAACAATTTTCAACGTAAAACCTAGATTGGGAACGACCATTCCTAATGACCTAATTTAATGTGTTTTTGAGGCGCGAAACTTGTCCAGGAGGAATAAGAAAGCTTATAGTCAACATGAGACATAAGGATGCCACCCATGTAACACCCTATTTTTCATAAAATAATATTATTACTAATATTATATTCTTTCTTATATTTTGGGGTTAGAAATATTTAATTATTATTATTATTAAAGGAAAAATAATTTTTTTGTATATTATTTATATTTATTTTGTTAAATTATTTTGAGAAAAAGGAGAAGTGGGTCGGGAAGCGTAAAGAGTTGGGTTGACCCAGCCCGAGGGAATGTAAAGAAGGGGTTAGGAGATTAACCCTCATTAGTCTCATTTGACATTTTCTGAAGGAGTAAGAAAAAGAGAAGGGAAAAATAAGAGCTCTAAGGAGGAGTGCCCAAGAAGAGATCAAGAACAACTTCCACCACATCAAGAGTATACTGATTAACGCAACCAGGTATGGGGGGAAAGGGTTTATTTGTATGCAAATTCACATGAGGGAATGAGTAGAGGAGGAATTTCATAGGGCTATTGGTAAATTTATAATTATTAATTTCTGTTTGAAGAATTGATGATTCCATTAAATGTTACGTGTATAGAGGATTTGGAATATGTAACAAGTAGCGAAGATGATGATCTAGGAGAGAGAAAAAAATTGTAGAAAAGTATCTCTGAGTTAGATTTTGGAAAAATTGGGCATTTTTCTATTTGAGTTAAGATTCTACAAAATTGATGATTCAATCAGATTTTATATTGATTTATAAATATAGTTGTGATATTATTTGGTAAAATTGATAATCTAGATGATAATTATATTTATTGGGAAGTGCTGTAAGTTAGGGTTCTTGTAGATTGATGAGTACCCTTAATTATATGAATTAATGAGTAATTGAGAGATTTTATTTATGGATGTACCTTAGTATTTTTGTAATATCGTTATGTGTGATTAATCAAATCAATTTTAGTTTGTTGGGTTAGAAAGTAGACACTTGGGGATATAATTTAGACTCTACAATCATGTAAAAATGTTAAGAATTGATTGAGTTATGTGAGTTATAAGTTCAGTCTCCATTCTAGTGTATGAAATATTAAGTTTTGTGTTGTCAACCATCCAAGGTGACCTTAAAGACATTTTTAGGATTTGTGTTCTTCACAAAAGTTGTATATTTGGGTGTTATATTTCTAATGGTTTAAAAATGACTCAAAAAGGATGTCTAGAACTCTAGTTATGGCTATTTTAGGGAATAAGGGTCAAGCTTTCAACATGGATTATATCTATTTTGGATTTTGAAATTTTTAGCTAAGTAGATGAATTTTTTAGAATTTCATGTCTTCATAAGAGTTGTAGATTATTCTCTCATATTTATTTTGAGATATGTTTGAACTTATTTGAATGAGTATAACTCTCTGTGTTTTATTTCCTTTGACAATTATCGAAGGGAGATGCATATTGTTTTTATATTCTAAGGTGTTATCATGTGGATTGAAGAGTGGTTTAAAGTTGTATGATATTATGTTGTATAGTTAGTTCATATATGTATGATTATGTGATGTGAATTCATGGTGAATTACATGAGGGGTATGTGAACCATTGTTTTGTGTGGATTTATCTATATTGTGCATGTGATGTGGAATTGAAATGTGAAATGTGATGTGATGATTAGGCACGGTCGTATGCGTGACACTGGGCCATAAGAGCGTGCACGTGATATGGTGCTATTTATGCGTTTTTGGGGGCGTGGTCGTATGCATGATACAATACTAGATGTGTGATGCGTCAGGTATAGTCATATGCGTGATATTAGTGTCGATAGTGGAATGCATTAGCATAGTCGGGTGTGTAAGATGATGTTGGACGTGTGATGCATTAGTTGGGGCGTGTACATGATCTGGTGCCAGATGTGTGACACAGTGTATATGTACAATTTGTTTATATGTACATATGTGACTTATGATGAGATGATGGAATATGTGGATTATGATGAGATGATGGAATTTATGTGTTTATGGATTATATTGCTTTGAGATTGTTTTGTGGAATTTTGTGATGTTCTTTGTGTATAAATATTTTCTTTTCTCATCGTACGTTTGTGGTTGTTTTTAGGTGAGGAAGATGTGGACATGGGTGACATTTAAGGTGCGAATAATTGAGTCATGGGAGTGCTTTGATAGTGTGACATCGAGGCAAAGGTCTTTTAGGACTTTAATTTTTATCATAATTAGAGATTTTACAGTTCTTTTGAAACTATTTACGAACTTATTTGCTTTCTAAACTTTATGTAAAATTAATCGGATATTGGAAATGTATTTTCTTTTGGATATGTTAACCATTTTACCTATGTTAAATTTATATTTCTTTAATTTACTTTATTGTGTATATTAGGGTATAATGGGTGTCACAATCCAACTTAGAGATCAAGTGGCCAAACAAGGAACAAATGAATCCTGAGCATTTGTTTTCCAAGGGCACCATGATGACATGGTTCAAGCTTTGAACCTAGGACGTTCTATAATCAGATCAATCAAGGATGATTCAAGAGAATGTTGAGACCATGGATGACTTACATAATGTCGAAGCCAGGAGTTGCATAGAAAGAATACACATCAAAGCCAGGAGTGGCTACAAAATAGTACTCATCATTATCATGGAGAAAGGACCTCTTAACCATTAGCGACTACAAACAAATAGAAAAGGCCAATAAAAGTAAAAGGGTAG